AAAAAAAAAGAATTAGGGAAGGGGTGGGCAACAAGATGGAGGTGAGTGTGACTATGTAAGTGAAATGAGGGATTTTTATGGTGATGGAAACCTCTCTTTTGACTGAATCAATGTCATCATTCTTGTTATGATATTCCACTAAATTTTGCAAGATACTAGTATGGGAAAATATAGCTAAATATTACAGAGTATCTGTCTATACTTTTTTTTTTTTTACAACTACTTGAAAACCTACCATAGAAAGTTTAATTAAACAACAAAAGGATACATAGCCCTATTCCTCACAGTAGAGAACTGAATGATTTTGAATTAACCCAACTCAAAGCCATTACTGAAGTACAGTAGAGGTCAGCAATTGTCTTTCTCTAAATTCTTCTACAATGGCAGTCTAGTCTGGGGTGAGAAAGTAAATTCAGCAATTATTTTCTCTGATGTGATTTTATTACATGGCAAAGACAAGCAATGAAATCAACATTGGACAATTTGCAAAGCAGTAGGCAAGCTTAGAAATGTGACATGGACTGAGGCGAGAATCACATTAAATTTTTGGCAAATATGAAATGAAACCTGTCTTCTTTTGAACTGAAAGTAATGTGACCAATGATAAGGTCATAGTAAACATCCAGCTGGTCCTTGGCCAGTTTGATGTTTCAGGAACATTTTCCAGCCTAAAATGGAATCCACAGTTGTACTTAGAATGGACTTTGTGCTATTTAAGCACACTATAAAGTCCTTGGTTTGAAATAGCCCCCTACTCTCTGAACCTCAGGTGCTTTACTGTGTCCAGCAGGGAAGAAAGAAACTGTCTTTATTATAACTTCAGTCACAATAATGATTGGTAGAGTATATTTCACTTAAGACAAAATGCTTTGCTGTCATGTTTATTTAATCTACCGCATTAGCTTAGATCATGATGATCATGATGAAGGGTTAAAACCTTATTGCTTTTTCCCTTTTTCAGTCATGGTTCACTGGAGTGCATTAAAATTCAGAACCAAAGATTATATGAGATTGGAGGAAATATAGGTAAGCATTCTTTATTTTCCCCTAAGTTCAGACTACTCTAAAAGAAACATATTGCTATTATTATAAAAGTATATTGTATGTGTTTCTTAGATATAAATTTAACATCTGACTTTTGAGAATATAAGTTTGAGTATTTTCACTGGTATGGGGTAGACTTTGGGGGTCTTTTAAATACTACTCAAAGTTGGAAACTCTGGAAACTCTTGAAAAACAAAGAAGAGAACATCAAGAGCTTTTCGGAATCATAATATCCAATGTTTAACTTCTCTATTTTTCACTTTCAGCCAAAGTTCATTCTTCCAATTTCCCTGAGGCAGATAAAATAAGAAATAAAAAGAAAATCCCTTTGTTCCTTATCTTCTTGATGAGTGAAATACCAGTGCCTCCTTCCCCTCGTGCCTAATCTGATTTTGCTCCAGTTGCTCCCCATTCTCTCCTGAATCATCAGCTTTTTCCCCTTTCAATTGCATAATTTCTGTCTACATAAACAATTTTGGTAATTTCTCTATCTTTACAAAACTCTCCATTGACCCCTGCAAGTCTCCCCTCATTCCTCTGTTCCACTTTACAGCAAAAAGTCCTTGAGTCAGTTGTCTATGTTGCAATTTCTTCCTCTTGTCCTCTCTTGAAACCACTCCAGTCAAGCTTTTCTCCTCAACACTTCACCAAAATTGCTCTTATCATGGTCACCAGAGGACTCTTATGTTGTGAAATTCTGTCATTCAGTCTGTCTTTAACTGCCTGTGTTGAACTTTCCCTCCTTTACAAAATGCTTTCTTCTCCTGGTTTCGAGGGCAACCTAAGCCTCTGGCTTTCCACTCACTTCACTGGTTGCTCCTTCTAAGTATCTTTTGCCTGTTCTCGTTTGCCTTTCAAATTCTTTACGTTGTAGAATTACACGGTTTAGTCCTTGTAACTCCTCTCTGTCTACACCTAACTTCCTTGGTGAACTTAATCCTCTTCGTGACTTTAAATACACATGTATGCTGATGCTGCTCAAATTTACATCCACACTGCCCCCACAGACACCAACCTTGTCTTTCCAGTCACTTGGCACATTTTGCCTGGTGGCCTTTGCATTGTTATGACTTTTGTCCTTCAGTTGGTCATGTCTCATTTCCTCATCTCCTTTAGGTCTTTGCAACTGAATCAACTTCTCAGTGAGATCTTCCTGGATCATATCCTCTCTTTGTTGTTCTTAATGTTATCACCAGCAGACTTGTTTTATATTATACTCACTTATTTCCTAGTTCCTTTTACCACTTTCGAAGGTACCCAAGAGAGCAAGGCATTTTGACTAATGTGCTAGAGGCCAGCCCCTAGAATAACTCAATAGATATGTGATAAATGAATGAATAAAAGAAGCAATTAAACCTCGGTAGTTATGAGACCTTGATATACACTCAAAGACAACAAACATTGTGATTTTCATGTCTTTGCCCCACAGAATGACCTTTTTGTTATCGTTTCTTGATTTCTTGCCTATGGGCATTGCACCCACAGTAAAGAAATGAAATGACTGTTTAAATGTTCTCTAGTCCTGGTCAACTAACATCATTAGAGAACATGTATTATTTTGTAAATGATCAGTTTAGACCCAAAACAAGTGTTTGCCATATTTTTTTTCTAATTCATGTGGTTAAGTATAGAGAGCAATTTTCCTGTGGTTGGAATTCCTGGTTATTTTTTTCCTATAATTTCACATAGACTGTATTTGAAGTCCTTCACAGAGAGAAAAGAAGCAGGAAGGAGGCAGGGCTGGAGGAAGGAAGAAGGGAACAGGGATCTGCATGCATTCCTGAGAGAGTTTAAAATGTTTCTACTTCATTTTGGCTGAAAGAACTCTTGGCCATTTTGAACTTATAAACACATACATACACACATGCACAGAAGTGGGCACTCTTCAAATGTTCTCTAATTTTCTCCTCCTTTTAGGACAACATTGCTTGGATCCAGATGCATATATATTGGATGTATATCATGTAAATCCTCAAGCAGAATGGGTGATTAAACCCCAACCCAATTTTTGAAATAACTGTCATGATGGCAGATGTCATGCATTTATGTCAAGAAGATCCTCCATTTGGTAGAGGAAAAGAAGACTGCTTTTGACGTGTTTCTTCCCTTCATAACCCTCTTGATGTTCTTCATCCAAGTGGGGACCTCTGGCATTGTCAACGCAAGCTGTGGAAGCCGAGCTGGTTGACCATTTGAGCTGATGCTTTCTCCTGACAGTGCCTTGATAAGGGTGAAGGGAAGACTTGATCTTCCCAGAAGAAAGATCAGTCTAGAATATAGATCTACAATGATTTCTATTACTTGGAATTCACAGCAGAAATAAACTTGATCCAAGCCTGAAGATAAAGAAACACTTCTATGTAACAAGTGCTACCAGACACAAGAAGTGGAAGACCCTTTTTACTTACTTATGTTATACATATATATTGACCTTTTTGAGCAAAAATGGCAGAAAACATTTCTTCTCTGAAAAACAATTCAGATCTACTTTCCGAAGGAAATCAGTTTTCAAAAAGTTATAATATTTATGCTCTGATTTGCTCCTGAATTGAAGGAAGAGGAACTTTTGTTTAATGAGCACTGTTCTGTATGTATGTCGTACTGTGCCGTACCACGTCTATCAGTATTCTGGGCAAATGAACATTGTTCTATCTTGGACTCTTGGAAGCTGACATTTGTAAGTTGACATTTATAAAGCTTATTCTTATATGAGCATAACGAAATTTAGTTTGACAAAGGCTGTCTTTGGCTCTCATAACTTTCTTTTTGGTCCAGCAGTCCCAGAACCTCTATTTTCTCATCATGATTATGGTGCTTATGAATAGTTTCCCATGTGCCAGGCACAGATTTCCTTTCCTGATGAAACATATCATTTTTTTATACTTCACAACTGTAGATTGTTACTTCTCTAACCTCAGTTTTAAAATACAGAACTGGCTTTATCCACATACTCTTTATCCAAGAGTACTGGAAAATATTGCTATATCCAGATTTTATATGTTATAAAAGCAGATTTTGCTTCTGTTCATCAATCATAGATATAGCCAAGCTTTGTGAATTAGCTTCAGGCTATAAAAGCAGATGCCTGTTTGGTTAGCAGAAATCCAGCTCCCTATTCAAGATCCTGCAAAGCCATTTTGCAAACCTGCAATTGGCCAGAACATGCAGTTCTCCATGATATGCTTTAGGGTTACAGAATACTGCCTTTCATCTGGAGACTGCAGGTACAGTCCTTTTAGGGTTAGATACAAATGGGAACAGACATCTCATTTATCCCATACATGTACTTTGGATTAGAACTCATAGATAGAGAGTTTGATGAATTTATTTCAGTTTTAATGAGATTTAACACCCAAATGACTCATAATTCAAGCAGTAGACAAAATAAATCACAACAGCAGAAAACTTTTTGTCTGCTTAGCAAGTCTTAACACAATGCAATTATTAAACCCATTATTGGAGAAATCTTTTATATACGATATTATACCTTGATGTTTATAAGAACATTACTTATAGCCAACATAGATAATTGCATTTCTGGTCATTTTGTTATATTTTATAGAATATGCAAATATTCATTTAATGTGACAATTTTTATTTTCTTTGCCTGAAAGCCCATTAGAATATAAACATATTTTCTATAGGGTTTTATTTGTTATTTTTCTTTTCATCAGTTTTCAGTATATGACTAATTGATGACACATGAGATTCGGTAATCAATTTCAAAATTCTGCAAAAATATTATTGTTTTTGCAATTCAAGCAGCAGGAATAAGCATTTTCCTTTTTGGGTTGCTAAATTCCAATACATAAGATGGCAGTGATTTTTGCCTACACACATGGAAATATTATTCAAATTAGCCACTTTTCACTTCTATGTACATGTGAAAAACAGTGACAGCTTTTTCTCATTGTAGTTTCTACCATTGTATGACTACATAAGCTTTATATAGAAAATTCACAGGTCTGTTCATTCAATTTTTTTTTGCCAATTTCCATTTCTTTTTAACTTAAAACACAAGAACCTATATATAAGTTCTAACAGTTTTAAGCTTTATTCCACGTGTTTTCAGTTTTTTTGTTTGTTTGTTTTTTGTTTTTAATGCTTAATAGATGACAGGTAAAGGACTGTGTGGATTCCTTACCCACTTTTGTGTGGTTTTAGATGTCAAAGCTTTAGCTAAATCAATAACCTTAATGACTTCAGTGTATTCAAGCATGACCACTTTCCAAAAACTAATACGAAATGCCATGTCATGCTGATATAACTATATATAACTTTCATTCTTGTTCATGAGGCTAACTGATTGGAACAGAATATCCAGTAGACACAATGACTAATTTTTGTATAAAGAGGGCCTTTTATTCTTAAGAAACAAACAAAATTACACAATTAAAATTACATTTGCAAGCAAAAGAGAGTCAGATACTGGACTTCTGAATTCTGTTCTTGATGGTTTCCTCCTGTCAGCTCATCCTTAGTGCTCTTGGTGAACAGTTAGGAAAATACTATCCAGGAAAATGTTAGAGAAAGTTAGCGTTTGAGGAACACTTACTCAGAAAACAACCCGAGAGCAGACTCATTTCCTCCATACTGCAAAAGAAGATCCCTTTGTTAAGCAGCTCTTAGTGATAATGATTCTTGGAGTCAGTGATCTTAAGAGCATACTGGAATATTAATTTGTCTACAATGTATATACCGTGTAAACTACCTCACTTGCCTTTCTTGGGAAAAATTAATGGACTTTAACAATTTTTGTTACAAACTGCCCCTGAGTCTTTTTATTTAAGTCACTTCAGTTAGCATTCAATGTATATTTAATAATATACATTTAATGATGTAAAATATTTTTAGCAAAAGCTTTGAAACCAAAAATACTACAACCTGTGGTATACTCAGAGAATTTGTGTCTCTTTCTCCTTGTATTGCTGTGTTAGATGTAGGTTTTCAAGTGTAGGAGTTAGTATTCATCTCTTCCTTTAGGCATTTGTAGCTGTTTTCCCCATACTGCACTTGACTTAAAAGTAACATGAGATTAAAATGTTCTTTTTACTATCAGACATATTTCACCTTCTTATTCACAAATGTATTACAGGTTTGAATATGTATATATATTATATATATATTCATTACTAAGTTGAATAATTACTATTGACTGTATTTTCAATTGTTTCCATAAATATGTCACTTAATAAAAAATAATATGACATGGATAAATGTTTCAAACATTTTCAACAATTGTACACACACCTTAATTTTAAAATATTTTTTCTTACATTTTCCAACTTTAATAAAACGATGTGATTTGACTGAGAAATCATCTATCACTTGAAAGGCCAAACCTGTATGTTGTCGACCCTCTCACAATTTAATATTCTTTTGTTTCATCAGCTTCCGTTGTTAAGTATAATATGTATGTTGCATTTTATCTATAAAAATAAAGAGAAAAAAACTAAATATTTTGTAACAAGAGTTAATATTCAGCTAGTCTCTGAGCACCATGGTTCTGGTTAAAACACAGGAGCTTACAAGTTAGCTTTTTATCTGAGCACAGTCTGTTGCTTCCTAGCCAGATGGTAGTCTTTTGCAAAAGTCACATGGCACTATAATAATGATAGGTGGTTATGTGTAGGGGACAGATTGAATAAGCATAAACTATTTCCTAAATTTGTTTGAATGGTACTTTAGGCAGGTTTTTAACATGAGCTTAAAAAAAAATCTTTTCAATAGCTACAGAAAAGATATTTGACAAAAAGCAAAACTTCTAGTTTCATAAATCAGTGCCACAGCCTCTTGTTTAGAGAAGCAATTTATCAGAGAGATTTAAATTACAGGTGTCTAGGAAATAGTTTCAATGCAATCCAGTTCTAAAAAGCAATCCACAATTGTTCCAATTTACCATTCCATAACCTCTAGCCATTCAACTCTTGATTCAGCAATGCACTGATTCAAGTTGCACGCGTTAGTGATGCAGACAATAAGTACAAGATGTACTGAACATAAAAGCATCATCCATTGCAATTTAGTAAGTCACATCACCCCCACACCATTTTGCAAAAGTTGAAAAAAAGAGTTCTAAACCAAAAAGTTTGCAAGGAATCCTAGAAGGTCTGCATGGCATTCTAAGTCACCTCAACTTAAAGAAGGGTAGTATTTTACAAAGTTTAAGAACCCCTTTGATAACACCACCCTGTAGTAGTAACTTGTTCATCTGTTGGAAGCCTGTAATATCCTTATACAACAATTTCAAAGCGTTCATGAAGAAGAAAGGCAGGACCAGGTGTTTCTCTGAGGTTGAAGTCTTCCTCAGCAATTCATAAGAGGGGTGAGTTTGAGAAGTTATTCACTTTGCTCGTCCTTGCTATTAGAGACAGAAACTCATATGGATATATTGCAGTATCCATCAAATTGAGGAAAAGTTTTTCTGCTTCAGGAGAAAAAGATTACAAAAATCTTGTTAAAAAGTATAGGGATACATCATAAGCTGTTCTGTTATTAAGAAGTTGGTTCTCAGGGAATAAAAGATCAAGAAATTTTATGAAGGTCAATTTTCAGAAAGATAGAAAAAAGGTTATGTTTATACTTTATTTATGGTCCTTCCACTCAAGACAGGTGTTCGGTCCACTTAACATACAAATATACAACTAGTATACGAATGATCAGCTTTTTCCATGGAACAGTAAGCTGGTACAATGATTGCTTCACCAGCCCTCTTACGTACATTCAATTAATTTTTTTAACAGATTTACTTATTTATGCAGACAGAGTTGGGGTCCAGACCTGAGGTGCAGGAGCAGTGAGAGGCTTCATCAGAGTCAGAGTAGGAAGCAGAACCGGCAGATCAACGAAGTACACTGCTGAGGGAGCAGCGGGCAGGTCAGGAGAGGTCTGCCTCACAATGTGCATCACCTCCAGGGCCGGGGATTGAACTCGCACTGAAGCTGCTGCTGCTAGCTTGCAGTGCTGCATCCTAACCCGTTGCACCACCATGGAGGACCCATTCAATTAATTTTTAAAGGATCCCATATCTTTATCCTCAAGATTATAGAAATGTTTACATAGTGTAATCATACATCAAGTGAGAATAAAGCATA